TTTTATAAAATTTTAAGATACTTTTATTTCAGAAAGTTGTAATTATTTTAGCTTATATACTCATTCATGTAAAATAATTGTTAATTATTATTACACAAAATTTATTTGTATAATTTTATAATTATTTTATAAGAAAATTTAATTCGAACTATTATGAATGTTGGAAAATTATGAATAATACCTAAGTAATTTCACCAAATACTGCAAAAGTTCGCACATTTTTTCCTATTAGAAGCTACAGGAAAAAGGCTCGTATTCCGGTATCAAGTTAATGACTGATAACTCCAATCGGTCGCAGTACGATAGAGCAAAGAGGAATTTCCACGCTCGGTAAATGTACCATAATCGAGCGATGAACACGGCTGTCATATATATTTTTTTTTTCCCAGGCGATGAGAGCCGGGCGAGAGCACACGCGGCAATAAATCCCGGCCTGCGCCGCTAATTTTCACGGAGCCGTTGCATGCACGTACCTACGCAAAAGCGTGCCTACACGATGCCAGGGCAGGTGCATCTGCATCGTTACCGCTAGAACGCGGGCGCAGACGAAGATACACGCGCGACGGGGTCATGACATACCCGAAACGAGATCGGCATTGTTACCGAACCGGCCGATCGTGTCCTTGTAACTTTTATCGAAGCTACTATGATGGCGCGTTTCACGCGAAATTTATTGCCATCGCCAGCGATGGTTGTATCATGACTGTAAACCGCACGACTGAGCACGAGTGTTCTTTTCAAGTACCTCCTGATGTATTTCGCTGATTAAAACGCGTTAATTTTCTTGCCGCGAGACGCGCTTTTACGATGACGGGTCTCCGTGAAATTATTAACCATTAAATACGTACGCACCGGGACGCCGCGTGATCCAAAGGAAGCCTCGTAAATTCCTCGGCGCCCGTTTCATATTAATACTTATATTTCGAGATACTTATTATTATTCTAAATACGTCGTGTTCGATGCGTTCCTTAAAAGCGTTTCAGAACAGACACGAAATAATTACAATATCAGACCGAATCGAGAACACGAATAAAAAGACAACGAGAACGCATTACGGCAAGAATGATGTTATGAGTTGCAATTTGAGAAAGTTAAAAGTTGTTACTCTCAAAAAACATATATATATATTCGTACAAAAATAATTTCGCGCAGATGTTGTGAAGGGATAAAGAACTTATTTCATTTCAAGAATTAAATACACCGTCAATGTATTGCGCAATAACACAAGTGCTGCGAAGCTGTGCGATTATTATCGTTTCTTGAATTTGTGAATTTTAATTAATGTGATCCATACTACGAAAATTCCATTAAGTTACGATTTATGCTTAATTACCTGCGAATTTCCGACGATACATAAATATTTCTTTAGTTATATCTACCAACATTATGAACCAAAGACAACAATATTTTCGTTAAGCGAAAATCTACGGCGAGCATCCTTTTCAAAAGCGACTGCGGAGAGAATCCCTTTACGAAGTTCGCCCGCGGAGAATTTCTTCGTGAGCTGCATTTACAAAGAGTCCAACTACGAGGTACATTAGTCGAGATTATATCCGGCAAAGGAAGTCGACCAACTTCCGAAGACACTGTTGCAACTAAATCTCCTCGAATCTGGCGACGTCCAAAGACATCGAACTTCTGCAGAGTCAGCAACAAATACACCAAATACAACATACTGGATCGTAAAGCGAAAAGTATGCACCATCGAATGCTTTATTGCGAATGAGATATAGGTATGTCTTATAGATATGTATCTCGTATAAATAGAACGAAAACAACCGAATCCTATCTCTTCAGCTGGCGCCAAAATTCTTTTTAAGAAAATACAAAAAGTTTTTACGCGGACAACCTGTGACGTATTTCATCATACGAGCTTTCAACATAAATTTATTTTAGACGCGAGATTTATTTACCTGCACATAATATCGTATTATAAGTAATTAATTGGACGACATAGAAGAATGACACGAAGCAGAGAGCGTCCCGGTAATGGATTTAGAGCAAACAGGGGCGTTCTGCTTCACCATTATATTATACTTACTTAAGTATATAAATGTTTCACAAGCAACAATAACTTGAGAAATATTAACAACTGCAGAAACAAAATATGTTATTACCAGCATTAGATATATAATTATCACGAAAATATGCTACACGTATAGAAATAAATATAATCAAAATTTGTATAATTAACACACTAAAAAAAATTGGTTGAATTAAATACGTATATCATAATTAGACTGTTTGATGAAATATGAACGATTTATGGTTTTGGTTAAAATAACTAGATAAAGATTGCATATATTTTGATTATAGTAATCAAATATATTTGACTGTATGAATTCTGAAAATAATAAACAATATATAAAAAACAAAAATTTTTTTTTATTCTATAATGTATTTTTAATTATATTGTCACGTTAATTTTGCTCTTTTTCCCTGATAATAAAATAATAATCAGATACCAGATTGAATATTATTATTGCATATACATTAACCAAAATCTAATCGGTATCATATCTAAATGTTTTGTTTGCGTACTAAAATATTTGATTATAATAACCAGAAATTGTTTACTTCTATCAAAATTTGATTAACCAAACATATCTTGTTTGGTAATTCAACCATGATTGTTTTTTTTTCATGCACAGATTTAAATCTCATTAATATTTTATCGTTGTTTTTTAAATATTCGATGCGAATATCTTAACGTTCTTCCAATCAGTAATTTAATTGGACAAAGAATTTCGAAGTTCTTAACGTTCGCTGTGAACCAGTTCACAATAACACGCGGATTTCCGGCAAGGTCTGCGATCCGAGAAATCGGAGCTGATTACGCGTTTCAGATAGATCGAGAAAACTCGTCCGGTTATCGCTTTGCGGCTCCATTTCGAGACGCATTCAAGCGACGTAATGAGTTACGGCGTCACGTTGGATTTGCAAGTGAGACGAGTCAACCAGTTGCTCAGTTTGGATTGTCTTTGCCTTTGGGAGACGGGTTACACAATACCGCTTTCGATTTATCGTTCGATTTATTAGTTTCTCCTGTCTCGCTAATTACTTTCTCATTGCAGGAATTCTGGCACTGCAAAGCCAAACGACTTTCGCGCAGTACCGCCCGTACGTACGTACGAGTTTCATCGGATCTGCAAGTGAAAAGAGTCCAACCAGTTGCTCTGTTTGCTTTGTTCACATAACTGTACTCGTCGAATTCGAGTTCGTTGTTTGATTTGCTATACTCTCATTTGATTGATCAATACTCATATCATACATAGTTGTCAATAAAATCGTATATGAATAAACGCAAATTACAAAAAGCTATGCAAGAGAAATTGTACGTACAAAGAGAAACTGTATTATCGATATTTATTATTGATATATAAATCAATGCAAGTCGATGGAAACGATGTTAATGTGTGCATCACTATTTCTTTATTAATTTATTAAGACGCTAATTTATTATATTTTTATTATGTCTAATTTTGTTTTCGCAGAAAAGTTCTATTTTATTTTTCTCAAACAGATTTTTAAGATACAATACTTAACAATGTTTATAATTTATACGATAAAACCCGCTTATTACATTATGTGTATCTTATCTTGTTAATTATTTCCATATTGTGAACAGGAACGAGAAAAAAGTGAAATATTTTCCGTTATAAGCTCACAAGACTAATACAAAAAAGAAAAAGCAGTAGGATATGTTAGCGGATATCTATCATACGATCGACATAGCAGCTGCACCGGTATCCTTTTAGACCCTACTAATACTTTATAATCATTTAACGTAGACCTGTATGCCAAAGTGGTGTAAGATGACGAGGAGATCGCGATTGCAAGTGTTATGTGTTTATGTCATCCAGCGGAATTGACTGAAAGATGCAAACCATTATCTCTTAATATAGCAGCATCGACAAATAAATCGTAAATTTGTGAATCGTGTGATAAAATTTACTTTTTATAGCATCCGTAACGGAATATAATGGCCGTCGATGAGATGTCGTTTCGTGCAATGCGAATCCGAGTTGAAAGCCGTGTAAATAATTTGAGAGTATATACGCACTGTATATCCTCAATACTTGTATTTTTATATCTTTTTCAAGTTAATCGATATTAATTAATCACGTACTTGTTGGTCAGGAATGCGTGAGTAAATGTCATTTCCAAGAAACGATACCGAGCTCCGATGCGGAGACATAATTCGAGAGGAAAATAAGAGACAGAAATCATGATTTACTGAGTACTTTCAAGGTGATAGATTGAATGTTACTTAAGAACATCATAATCGTGAAGGATAGTCCGGTCGAAGGACACATGAGCAAACCTCAGTCGATATCTGTTCGTCCAGAATGTCGTTTATAACACTTGGTCGCGCTTATCGATCCTCACCGCACGTTACCGATCGCTTTTGCTCTGTTATTCGCTTATAACGTCGTAAATATCCGATTTACGGCTAGATCAGACCGGTTTGTCGACGATAATCATTTAATGAGTCGCAACGTGTTTCCCAGCGTTGCACGAACTCGTCTATGGTTTCCGAGATTATTGAATATCTGAATCCCGCCTTTATATATCATGATTTTTTACGTATTTCGTAAAAGTGGATATTTAATCAAGTCCATACATATTCGAAGTAAAATACATAATTTGGATACTTGCACGTCTCACTTAGGCACTATAGTGCATCAAAGAAAACTGGCAGAAGAAAAAAAAATCCGAGTTAATTTTAAAACAATGCTACAAATCGTGTAAAAACCGTGTGTTCTACGAAAACAAGCAACGAGCTTAAACTAATATCTCCAAGTGATTATGAGTATACGGTATCAGTTAATCGCCGATCAATCTCACTTCTTTTCTGAGCGAGCAGTATACCGCTATGCGGCACGCGAGAAGTAGTATCTCGTTGGAACGTGAGAAGTGCAGGATGCAAAATAAAGAATAAAATATACGTGCGTGCGTGCGTGCTTACGTGCGTGAGATGTTACATATGGATATTTACCGGTAAGGTTATCACCGCGTTGCTGCGGCCATCGGAAAGAAGGCCTGGGCTGCTGCTTGCTGCGCATATCTCTCGTCCGGTGCGGCGGCTCCGAGCCGCTCGCTTTTCAAACGATCGGAGACCACTACTTACCTGAAAGAGAACAACATAGAACAGTCAAAATCTCGTATCTTTAAGTTCTTTTTTTAATGAGATCACGCAACGTCTCGGTAATCAGATAATCAGATTCTGGCGGCAAAGATAGGCATCAATTTTTTATTTATGACCAAACATTAACGGTAAGATGTCATTCGCATTTCTAAACATTTTTTCGACCTTTTTTTGTAGTAGACACAATGTAAAACTAGAAAAGAGGAGAAATAGACGCCATATAAGGGCAAAGTACAAAACCTTAGGTCAAAACCTAGGCTATAAGTCAATCATCTCTTCAGTGTTACCCGAGACGTATTCTGGCTTGCTAAAATGTTGCGCAGTCAAAATCGGGTTTACATAGTTCAAAACAATACACAAAATCAATAAATCTTGTGTATTCAATACTGCTGTACCTGATTTCAGACTATTGATCGTAAAAATATTATTTCCTGTCAACTTATGTTAGTTTGAAATATAGTCAATAAATTTATCCCATGTCGCAGTTTAGCTCATATATTTTCTTAATTGTTCAATATATATTACATTATCGTAATATATATGTTATAATTTTTACATATTAATGTATTAAAATAAAGTTGAAATTATAAGCTTTAAATTGAAAATTTTCAAATTCAATTTTTCCAGCGATTGCGTTATTATTAACAAACTATTGATACTTTAGTATTAATATAACCACCATTCTTCATAGTTTAACTTCTAGTATACATAACGCGGAAAAAAGCATGCAACTTTTAAGACAGCTGATATTGAATGGGTGATATATCGCCCGGCAAACGTTGATAGCTTCTAAGAAAATCCACGCTTTTTCACGACGAGTTTCCCAATCGACGCGATGCTCTTGTGATTCTCCTCGGGAGGTGGAGAGTCCACCCTACTCGACGGGTTTTTACGAAGGGTGCCAAAACCTAGGATCGTGTCCCACGTCGCAGTTCACCCCCTCCCCCTCCCCTCACGTCCCTTAACCACCCAGTACCGACCATCGTAACCAGCCGTATATCTTTCCGGCGTACGCCCTCGAAAGCGGCCGCCTTTGTTTCAGATATTTATGAGGCGTTTTAATTCGCACACCGCGTCACCCAGCCGACCGGGGGGTTGCCGAACGGGGACCAGAGAAAGAGGGAGCGGGGACGGGGGAGGTGAGCGCGGGGTTTCTGCACGGCGTGACGGAGCGAGGCGCGAAGGCATAATAGGCATAAGGGTGCCCCGATAAAACGCCAACTCCCCGTTCCCCGTCTCCCCCTTCCACCTTCCCTTTTCCAGACGTAGGCCATAAGCGCAAACAAACTCTCGCTCGTATATCTCGCCTCAATGGTTTCTACGTCGGTGCGCCAGGGGCGTACTGTATCGTGCTGCTGTCGCCCTGCTTCACTTTTTTACCCCTTCCTCTTATCCCTCCTCCTGTCTCACACCTCCGTTCTTCTCCTCCATCTGAAAACCCTTGCCGCCCTCTACACCTATTCTCGACCCTTCACGCGAGCCAAGAAAATTTCTTAACCCATATTCAGGTAATATATCGCTCCACCGGTATGTACCGATTTACTGTAATATTCTTTGAACGGCGAGCTGCGAATAGAGCTACTTGCCCCCTTTGGATTATTCACTCGTTATGTAATTCGAAGCAAGTTTCCTACTTTGCTTTCAACGATGTTCACAATCTTCCAGTTTGATGATTATTTGATTGATCTTGACATTTGAAAGAAGTGATGGTATCATTTCGCGCAATTGTCATAGCAACTTCTTCGGTACAATGTATACAAAAATAGTCTTTGTTGACTAAAATTAGGTATGCTGTTCTCTATAAATATCTTCTTTATAAATATGTCTTAAATATCTTCGTTTATAAATTTCGACAGATGTTAAGAAAATAACGACTATGATTGTAATTTATAAATTAAGAGTAAATGTATAAATTCCGAAAACGTAAAGATTATTTCGAAAATAGATATAGAATGGACATAAAATTCCTCAGATGTACGTAACGATAATAATTTTATAGCTACATCTTTAGATGAACGTTTAGATAACGCGAGCGCGCGTTAAGAAATTTATATTCCTCTCTACTTTCTCCTTTCACAATAATATATCTCTCATATCAAATTTTGGAAGTGCTTAGCAAAAAACGGAATCGACTTAAATACTGAATTGGATATTTTGCCGACTCCGTCATATATTTCGAGATAGGACATCGGTGAAGCGTTTTAACATTTTTCTCCATCACACCAGAGCGATCAATTCAAAATACAATCGCCAGTACGATCGCATTAATGACTCTCAACTAAGTGCACGTTTTTAGGAACACTACATTCGTCTCCCTGATCCACGATCCAAGCCTGCTACGTCCCTTTACAACACACCGACGTCTCCGTCCACCTTCCATGGTCTTCTACCAGCAACCACTTCTGCCTCACCCCCCTCAGCCCCTTCGTGCCACGACACGCTGGAGAGGCAGCCGCCCTCCTGCTCATGCTCTTCTTTACGTGCAGGCGAGTTTAACAGTAACAGTACGTCACCCTGTCACTCTTTCCCTTCCTCTTCCTCCCTCAATCTCACTCTCGCCCTCTCTTTCTTTTCTCCTCACGGCGTCTCGCCCTATCTCCTTTCTCCAACCGTTCTCTCTTTCTCTCTCGCGCTCTCCTTAACAGCCTTCACTCTCTAAAAGCCTGGGTGTGATCTATGGCGGGACGTTGCGTCACTCGGGGAACAGATGCAGGGCTCGTATATTACTCGGCCATATCTACGAGCAAGACGGCGAAGAAGGGAAGGGGCGAGCGGGGAAAGGGAGATGTAGAGAGGGCGAACCTTGCCGTACGGTCAAAAGAATGGCGAATGTCACAAATCACTCGGCTTTTGTGTGACACCCAACCCTCGCTCGAATTTTTTTTCTCCCCAGGGTAAAGAAAATTTACTTGTTGACGAAGAGATTCCTGCTAAACGTCAGCGTGCCAGTGTGCGCGAGAGGATTGTTTTAAAAATTGAATTTTTCGTCGCCGTGAAATTTCACCTTGTTCGATGAATGGACGCCATCAAAGGCGAAAGAGCAAGTTTAATCTCTTGGGATAAAAAGTCCATTCGGACCCGACGTCGCTTTAATTGTGTCAAAACTAACGTCGAGCGGATCGAAGTTTGCGCTCTGCGAAGACGCGAATGTTTTTACGAATATGAAGTGGATTACGTGCGCCGTCTCGTCAAACGTCGAACAATGACTGTCGCGCGTTTTCCAAAGTTTGCAAATTGCATTACGTTAATACTGTGTGCAGCAGCGTTTAAAAAATCCTACGATTATCATCCCGCGGTTTCGCCCGCATATCAATACGACGAGTTTTCCAACTATTGAAACGTAGACAAAAGGGTGACTTTGTAAACAAACGAGAGTGAAGAGGACGGCGCCACAGTTTCCGGCTGAAAGGCAACGATGTGCGCCTGGTATGTGTTTCGACTAACGCAATTTGATAAGACGCCAAGGCAACCATATCTGGTACGCGCAATCGAGAGCCTGTCACTCGACTAATTAGGACGGCGTCCTCGATACATATCGCAAGACACGAATACGAAATAAGTCTTAGCTTTTCGCGAAACGTGCAGACAAAGAGTCGGAAATGAACGAAACGCAACGGGAATTCCACTTGCTCCGCTCCACGTGCGAGAGAGCGTCTCCGTGTACATGCGCCCGTGGAAACACTAGCCAGCTGTCTACGTTACGAGGGCAGAAGGGGAAGAAGGGTCGAGGGCGAGAGAGACGAAGGGGGCGAGAGAAAGGGGGAGAGTGAGAGAGAGAGAGAGAGAGAGAGAGACGGACCGAATACGCGCGTCGGTGGAGTAGACGCTTCCAGAATCTCATAAATCAGGTCAGGGTTGGCGACGGGGGCGGCTGCCGCGGTGGTTGCAGCGAGGAGGAAGCGAGGTGGCTACGATGCGGGAGGGTTGTTAGGTAAAGGTCGACGCACAACAGAGTCCCATGCCGACTTGCGCGCGCACGCTCGTAAAATGCTTGGCGCCAATTCCATTCAACGGTATGGATTCGTATGACGGAGGGATATCTCGAGTGGATCTTCTCGAAAGCGCCGACTCCGATGTCACGGCGTCTAACGTGGAAGAATAATTCATCGCGAACGTATATGCAGGTCGACGCGAGAATTAGGTCTGTGCTTGTTCAAAGTGGCTGCAAACCGGCATGGTTTATTGCAAGTAGATATTATTTTACGCCGATAAATCGCGGCGTAAGACGGCGTAAAGCTATTTGTACGAAAGTATATCGGAAATTGGCAAGCGCAGAAATTGGCGAAAGCGCAGAGAATAATCTACGATTATGCCATGGCCTATCGACTATCGATGCCACGAAGAGTATTTTATTACAGACCCGATGACGATAAATTGAAGGTTGACTTGTGAATCGTTTAATAAAAGATCGCGATTTATCGAGAATATTAGCGTCGTGTCTCGCAGTATATCCAGGAATGCCTCGTCGCGTTACTTATTATCGTCACATCTGCGTAATATTCGCGACCCGCGGCAACGTAAGGCAGCTTGAAAGCGTAAAAAGAACTCATATACACGCGACGATCGATACATGAGACTCGACGAAGCGGCGTAGGAGGAGAGGAGGGAAAAACAGCGACGTCGGAGGTGATTCGGAGGGACCCCAGATGGAATCAGTGCAGTTTGGAATATTGGAAAACGTCGGTCCGCGCGAGAAGCCGAAGAAGAGAAAGACCGGAAGACGGGCGGAGTGCGAGTAGAGCACTATTTATGACGCGTACGTGAATTCTGAGAACATTGGGGATACGTCGCGCCGTGTTCGCGTCACACCATCGTCGTAGAAAAAGAACAACGGACGCTCCAAGAGGGACGTGAACAACTGGTCCGAGGTTCTACATAGAGCTCGTGCGAGGCGCCGCACCGCGCCGGCCGAACGTGAATTCAGAGTTTCGCACCTAATGACGATAATAAAGTGAGAGCGTGCCTTAATAGGAGGTGATAAT